TGAAGAAAATGGCAAACCAATTTTAAAATGTATATGAAGGGACGCCTGGGTGGCTCAGTCAGTTAAGCGTCTGCTTTCGGCTCAGGTCATGATCCTAGCATCCATTCATTAAAATGCAAAGGCCATCTACAGACCAGAAATGATTCTTTTCAATGTATGTATCTGACAAAACACTCATCCAAAATATATCAAGAACTCTTATAAATCACAAAGAAAATGAGAAACAACCTAGTGTATTAATGAGCAGAAATATTTTAAAAAGCCCATCCCAAAAGAAGATATCCAAATGATTAATAAGCATATGAAAACCCAATAGGATATCTGCTAGATTGGTTTCCTTCTTTCTTTCTTTCTTTTTTTTTTTTAGTGGACCCCAACCCAGGGCTCCAATTCACGACCCTAAGATCAAGGCCTGAACTGAGATCAAGAGTTGGATGTTACCCCCAGAAATGGATTCTAATGGCTCCCTCCTCTCTTCACTAGATATGTGGCCTTGGGAAGCTTTGTAATTTTTCTGAGGTTTTTTTTTTTGCTCATCAGAAAAAGCATAGCATCTTAATAATAAGATAGTTCATAGGATTCGGTATGATCACCCAGAAGGGTACATGAACTGTACTTTTTGCTAAGAATATATTTGACCTTGAATTCTCCTTTATACATTTTTAAAAGCACAGACAGACAATTCGCAAGGAATAGACAAGTTGTTCTAAAATAAATACCCTTTCAACTTTTCTAGAAAGAAATCATATATATAATAGAAAATTGGAGAGGAACCAATTTGTATTGAACAACTTTCCCCAAACCCTGAAGCATGTCTACTTTCCATTAAGACCTGAGATGAACGTCTTGACTAGGTCCAACCCCTGCAGTCTTCTTGGTCTGGAGGGGTCTGAGAAAGTCCATTCTAGACCTAGAATGATCTGGACTCCTGGACAAGCGTTCCTCAGAAAGATAATCAACTACTCACCTCTAAAGGCCCTGAGCAATTTGTGAAACTGTGGGTGAGGTTAAGACCAGCTCAACTATATAAGCAGGACTCTCCCCTGAAACAAAGCTAGGGTATCGACAGATACCATTTCCAAAATCTGTTACAGGCCATGGCATGCTCCATAGGAGGGAAAACAGGCACATGAGTATCAATTGAGAGAAATATCAATCAACAGACAAGAGACATTATTAAATAATGTCCACCACCCATTACAACCCAGGAAAGCTCTCATTCAAAAGCCATGTTTTGAGGAATATGTAGTTATAAATCTTCATGATTTGGGGCTAGAAGCCAGTTTCTTAAATGGACAAGCTACCCCAAGAATAAATGGATAGACTGGATTTCATCAAAATTAAAAGCTTTTTGTTTCAAAGGACACTATCAAGGAAGTGAAAAGACAATCCATGGAATGGGAGAAATATTTGCAAATTGTATATCTGATGGAGGTCTGCTATCTAGAATACATTAAAAAAAAACAAAAACCCTTACAACTAAGCAGTAAAAAGCCAATTTAAAAATGGGAAAAAGAGTTTGAGTCGACTTTCTCTAAAGGATAATACCAATGCAACACCGAATACATGAAAATATCATTAGTCATTAGGAAAATACAAATCTAAAGCACAGTGTGATCCCACTTCCCCCCACTAGTATGACTTAAAAAAAAAAAAAAAGGCAATACATGTGTTGGGAAGATTGTAGAGAAATGGAACTCTTAGACCTTCCTGGTGGGAATGTCAAATGGTGTAGTTGCTTTGCTTTGGAAAATAGTTTGGCATTTTCTCAAAAAGTTAAACATAGGGTTACACATGACGTAGCAATTCCACTCCTAGGTAGTTAGCTAAAAAAATTGAAAATATATGTCCACATAAGGGGAAAAGAACCCTACGTAACACAGAGATGCAGGAAGAAGAATACCGAGAGAGTTGGAACAGGAAACAGTTTCATAATTAATTGCATAAATTAACATTGGTTTTTCTCCTCTGTTTTGGCTTTTGTGTGTGGGGGGGTTTTTTTTTGCTTTAAAGAACGTTTCCTTTCCTACATACATCCTAAGAATGTATTGTAAATGGAGGAAGATCCAAATAAATGTAAAAGCTTGTCAAATACAAAGAAAACAAAGATAACTAAAGTGCTAGGATGCTTCTCTTGTGTTTTTAGTGGACAGAGGAAAAAAAAAACCACTAGAAAGACACAGGGAAGACCATCATGACAGTGTAAGACATTGGAATCTATCCCTTATTGGAAACACCTTCAGATCCGTTTTACCTTAAAGGCAAGTGGGATGAGTTCATGACAGCCTTAAGAAAACCTGTTGGGAGGCGTGCCTGAGTGGTTCAGTTGGTTGAGCATCTGACTCTTGGATTAGGCGAGGGTCATGATCTCAGGGATGGTCAGATTGAGCGCCTTGTCACACTCTCTCCCTCTACCCATCCCCCCAGTCTCTCTCTCAAATAAATAAAGATGAACAAAGAAGAAAACTACTTGGGAAACTATTTCTGCCTTGGTGATTTATACACACACAAGGATGAACAATCAGAACTATGCTGAGATAATGTTTTAGAACGAGATGGGAACTGTGGTATTAGCACAAGGGTAGACAACAAGGGAGAGTGGCCAGTGAGGGGTGGTCCCCATCAGTGGGGACCTTCAGGGGGACCAGGCAGCCTTGTGTATCCACATGGCCTCGGCAACAGGAAGGCAGCAGCTCCCCAGGTTCCATGACACCCCGGACGTTCCAATTCTGTTATTTCAAGTGCAGACCGTCACCTGGCATTTTGGGTGCTCCCTCTGTGGTTCCAGTTGGAGTCTGAGCTAGGGGCAGGGCCTTCGGCTCTCAGCTCTGGCATCTTGAACCTTGTTTTTGTGGTTACCGACTCTCAAGAGCTGTGGGGTGTTGTTCCAATAGTTCCCAACAGTAAGTAAAGACTTCCTGTATCCTCACCCCTCAGGCCTGATTAAACCTACTTGATTTCACTGGTTTTTAACCCATCATGTGTTTGGGTTTCTTCTCCTCAGTCCCCAGCTCTTCCTCTTCGGCCACACGTCACCATGGCAGCACCTCTCGGCCCTCTGTCTGATCCAGGGGCAGAAATCAGCCTCCTGGAAATCAACCAGGAGCTTCAATCCCAGCTGGAAAAAAGCCGGCAGGACTTCCGAGACCTCAAGGAGAAATTCCTGATATCCGAAGCTACTGCCTACTCCCTGGCCAACCAGCTGCAGAAATACAGTGAGTCCTACAAGGTCATGGTCTCCAAAGAGATGGCTGTCTGTATTCCTTCTGAGAAACTAAAAACCTCTCCAGATGCTGTCTTCTCTATTTCCAATGTCACGATAAATTTCATCTGACCACAATCTGGGAAAGGTAGAAGTGGGCATTTACCCTCAGTTTGCTGAGGATGGGAAAACTGAAGACAAACAGGTTAACGGTGACATGTCAGGTGGGGTTAGAGTGAACATCCCAGTTATTGCTGCTTCCTGGTGCAGACACAGAAATGCCTGGTCCTCTCAGGATGGTCTCTGTGCCGTATCAGATCCTGCATCACTGCTGGCCTAAGTGTCAGGGACTAAGGAACTCTCTCAGGTCCCGCTTCTCTGAGGTCCCACTGGTAAAGCACCGAGATGGTTACACTGCGGAAACATGCTGATGGTGCACATGGGCGCGGAGGCGGGGAGGGGGGACGGGAGCAGGTGACACTGCCTGCTTTCAAGGAGACGGAAGTGAGGTCTCCTTTCCCCCCTGAAACCGTGGTATCCATGAGTGACGCCATCCACACAGTGACTCCCCTGGTGAGAGGGAACCCGTGACAGGCTCTGCTTCCTGAGTCCACGGAGGCCATTTGATACCCAGTGGTAAGGGTGAGGGTGTTTCAGGGAACATCAGACAATCGGTGCTACCTCCTCTGTCTCTCCCTGAGCTGGGGAACTTTGAGAGATGCAGGATGGCCAGCAGGTCCAGGCCTGGGCCAGGAGACACGTGGCCAAGTGAGAATGAGGGTGAGTGGGGGAGACCACATCCCGGGGAACCACCCAAGGCAGGGTGTGGGGCAGGCCCTCCCCCACAGGCAGCCTGAAATGGGGAGCTCAGCTGCCTGTTCATTAGGAGGGGCCTGCGGTGACAGAAGGATCATGAGAACGGGGCACGTGCAAAGCCGAGGGATAGGAAGGAATCCTGACAACTCTGAGCCCGAATTTTGGTCATTTTCTCACAATTTGCTTTCAGTACAACCAGGGGAGGTATAATTAAAAACGAGTGATGCAGAGAAAAGTAAAAACTGAGGCCTGCTCTTTAGGAAAGGGAAGAGATGATGCGCTTCCCGGGAAGGACAAGCAAAGTTTTGTTCACAACTTTCCTGAAAATCATCACATAACTGTGGGAAACCAGTTGTGAAGATGATGCAAATAGATGTCAGCCGAGGGCTTGGGGTGGACGTAACAGAGCACAGGGGTGAAGAGCATGGGCCCCGCGCCGGTTTTCCTGGACTCAAATCCATGCCGCCCATCGTCCTGTGCCTCAGTTTTCTCCTTGTTAAAGTGTTACTGTTGTGGGACCTACTTCTCTGAGTCCGAATGAATACTGAGTGATTTCTTGTAAAGCTCTAAGAGCAGAGCGTGGAACCATGTAACTCTGTTCATATTCTACTGCTTCTCATAACACAAACTGTATTAGGATTTGGCCATATTCCTTTCAGGTGCTTCTGGTTTTATGCATTGTGGTTTCCACAAGTGTAACCGGAGGAATTTTTACCTTTGAGATACTTGCTCAGTATAGAAATCCCAGCTCAGGGGACCCATCGGTCCTGTAGTCCTGGGGGGCTTATGTCATGTCCCTGCTCAGTGTTTTACTTAGGAGGCTGCAAGGCTTGCTAGAGTGGCCATGATCAGGGGAACCCGAAGTCTGACTCCACCACATACCAGTTCATCACCGTGTCCAGTTCCTCTCTGTGCCTTGGGGCTCTTCTTTCCTGGGCTCTGCAACAGGGAGTAATCGACTGCCCTGGAGTTGGGAGGCTGAGGAATGAGATGTGGAGCTCCCAGCGCAGAGCCTGGTGGCCGGGGTTCCATTTGTCCCGGGATGGACCCTGCCTCGTCCCGTGAAGGCAGCGAGCACAGCAGCATGTCCAGCTTTCCACTGAGGCAGGCATCTCTGTTTCTCAGAGTGTGAAGAGTCCACCGACATCATCGAATCCGTGCTGGGGGAGAAGGTGCGGTTTGAGAAGGGGAAGCGGGCAGACACGGTGGCTGAGAACCTCAGGTAAGGAGGGCTCCGTGTGGGAGGCTGCAGGGAAGCCGTGGGCATCTCTGACTTGGGGCAGCAACAAGTCTGGGCCAGGAAAGGGCAGAAACGTCATGGCAGGCACGTGACGCAAATGTTTCTAAAACAACTAAGACAACAGTGATTGGTAAATGATGGACTCCAATGACTCAGAGCCTCATTCTCTCCTTTGAAAAAAATATCAAAGTCACCAAGTTCGAGGGAATAATTCGTGGCATTTAACACATTCACAGTGTTGTGAGATCACCACCTCACTTACCTTTCACAGAGTCACGAGCTGGCTGACCACAGCTTGTCATCCTTTCTTTCAGACAATGCTGTCCTCTTGACCCTGCCATTCTCCTGAGCTCACCAGTTCACACCAGCTGTCCTGTCCACCCTTCTGTGTCTGGCGCTGTGTCCTTTCACTGCACGCTGCCCTATATGTAGTTTTCCAGGGAAATGGGTGTCCCCGAATTGAGCAGCTGAAGGGACATGTCTCTGGCGTGTGCTTAGGAGGACCCCTGGCTCTGTTTACAGAAGGAAAAGATGCAGGGGATGTGCGGGGGCTCACAGGAGCATGTCTGATACACAGGAGGCCTTGATTTACCTTCTTCTTTCTCTGCCACAGGCACCACACCTCACATGTGTGAATTCGGCTTCGAGGGCTCCTTTGGGGAAATTCTGCCAGAAATATCCACGAAAGCCCTTATAATCCTTTGTTCAACTCTTTGCATTTTAAAATTTTCTCTCTGTCCCACCTTAGGCTATGTCATATCCTACTTAAAGAGCTGACCCGTTTGTATCAGAAGTTATGGGAAGGGAAAGACATTTCCCAACTACTCAATAAGCACCTCGAGGACCTCCTAACCCATGGTGACCCTGAGCATCCCCAAGGGCCGGGCTTCCAAGAGCAACTGGCTGAGGGGCGCAGGCTGCCCAAGTGCCTTGTCCGAAAGCTCAGCGCAGGTAAGGCGGCCACAGGCCCTGATGCCCTGAGCTGCCCCAAGGCCCTGGGCTCACAAGAGACTCCCCACCTGCCCTCACGCTGTTTGCAGCAGCTGTCCTGGGTTCCCCATCGCGCGTGGGGCCATGAGAGGACCGGGACTGGAAGGTGGTAACAGAGAGGAGAAATGCACAGAGTGGAGGTCGTGGTGCTCCACGTGTCTGCTTCCTCCCTGAGGGAATGCAGCGTTTGGGGCAGGAGGCAGCCTCCACCGGTGTTTGAGCCCAGAAAGCAGAATGTGACAGGAGGATGCTTGTTAGTGTGCAAGGGTCCCTGCACTAAGTGGGAGGTTCCCAGACTCAGCGCGGTCTGTATTAACTGTGGGCGAGAAAGTGAGTTTAACTTTCTCCATATCGGTCTCCTCATCTGTAATGTATATCAAATAACCTGTTGACACTGTAGTGATGAGATAGGGAAAATTCATGAATGCACTTCAGGAAAAAATAAAGCTCCTGACCGTGTGGAGTTGGACGAGGTACTTGATGCAGTAGGACTTGGAGGTGGGAGCGCTGTTTAGACTGGAACACTTTTCATAGACAGATGTCCCCTTGATAACACTGAAGCCCCCATGGGGGCCCATGAAGTCCCTGGTGGAGGGATGAGGGACAGGGTGGTTGTCCTGCCATGAGGGCAAGGAGGAGGCTCTATGTGAGAGCTGTGAACGCACAGAGAGCCTGTGGCCGTGGCGGGACCTGCGGCATGCTGCGAGACACAGTTTGCAGAAGTCAAGCTGACAAGCAGCCCCTGATATGGACAACAAGAGACAGTAAAACCTGTTGCCCAGGTTCAGGGATGCTGATCCTCAGAATCAGAGACACACTGCCTGATGCATCAGAAATCCATGCCACAGCAATTCTTAAAGACAGTGCCCTAAACTCAGTAGAGTACCTAGTCATGCATAGACCCTTAGGTCTCTAGGGCCATAGAAGCCACTGTGTTTAGAGTGCTGATATGGGAAATAGCTGACGGGACATTTCTGAATTTATTTGCAGAGAATTATGAGGATGAGGAGGATGAAGAAGAACAAGAAACCCTCACTCCCAGGTGACAATGAATATTCAGGAACCAATAACGTGTGGGTAAAAATGGACAGGGTCTCAGAAAGTAGAGTGAGTGAGGTCAGGAGAGTCACAGATGTCAGATGCAAGGATAAGCGAAACTGCAGATGGTCCACAAAGGAGGGCCCTGTTAGCTTGGTTGTCTGTGGTCTCTGTGGTGGTGTAAGACCAAGAAGAATTCACCAGCCTTAGGATTCCCCGTGGGTACAAAATACCCATTCTTTCCTGTAAATGGACACCGAGAGGAGATGCATATGTACTTCCTATACAGTTCTCTGAGGTCCTTGGTAGGAAGGTAGCTAACCAAGGAATTGGAAAACAGACAACTAGCAAAATTAAACACCAAGAGAAGTACCTAACCAAAACCCAAGAACTTGGGGTGTCATGTGACACTATTAATACCAAGGTGCCTAGAAGGTCTACAGGGACTCCAGAGCTGTAAGCACTTGATCAATCTATGTTAAAGTCACCCCGACTCAGGCACGTGGTGGTTGCCCCTGGTCTGCTCTCCATCTGTGCTTCATGTTGTGACTGCACCCTACTGGGATGGTGGAGTCTCATTCCTGGTCAGTGCTTCTGTGGCGGAGCTCTGAGGATCTGCTGCTGCTACTCTCCCAGCACCAGGCAGCCACACTCTGCCTCTTGTAGGATGGAGTGCTTGTTCCCTCTCCAGCCGGCGGCCCTTTGCCTTTTGTGACCACTCCCTCTAACTCCCATCGAAGCCAGCTAGGAAGCCACAGTGTCTGATCCTCCTGGTTTGATCTCCTGTCATTCCTGTCCTACCCGGCACAGCATGGAGCAGCAGGAAGTTGAAAAGAAGGAAGTCCTACAGGACACAGTGGATGAGTGTGTTTTGACTCCTTCAACTCTGCAAGAAGGTTGTGAGAGCGACCAGTCCTACAGTGATGGCGAATTCCCATTAGATGAACAGGAATTCGGCTCTGCTCTGGACTTAGCCTGTGAATGCTCCCACACCCAAGGGGATGAAACTCCACGTGGTCCCCCAGGTAATGTCCATGTTGTTTGTTCTGCATACTTTGTCCACACTGAGGAAGGTCATCTCTATACACAGGCGTTACAGACACACATTGCTTTAAATCAGGACATAATGGATTTGGAAACACAGACATCAGGTGGGTCAGGGAGCCTTCAACCATCCCAGGCAGGGGCCGTGCCTCTGCCACCCTGGCCCCCGGGTCAGGCCATTGCACCTATGTCAGGGGCGACAAACTCTACCCACCTCAGTAGGACATCCACAAAGTGTTGTCAGATACCCTCCTTGGATCAAATGTCTTTTGTTCCATGCAATGATACTTTCTCTTTAGGATCAATATCTCTCGAGGTCCTAGACCTGTCCAATGTTGTTGGCTCCCATGCCTGCATAACAGGAAAGGTGCTTTCCCTGGTTTCACTGCTCTCAGTCCCAGGCACTATCTTTTCGATGTTGGTTCAACTTAGCCAAGTGGTCATCTGCAAACAACTGTATCATTACCTTGTATGTATGTTCCTGTGAAGCAAAGCCGGGCTCTGGCATCACTCAGACCACAAATGGCTTTTGTGTCAGTAGAACACCAAAGATTCTTTTTGATTTGAGGGTTTCTACAACGGATTCATTAGTCTAGTCTCAAGTATTAATTCCCGTGAAGCGTCAAGAACCATGATATCTCATGGAATAACCCCATTTTGCAGCAACACTCCAAGAAGGTGCTTGGACTCTTCCCCAGGACCTCTGGGGAAAATATATTAGGAACTCTTTTTACAGACTCCCATTGGAGGGGGATACTGGGATAATTTGTAGGGGACGAGGAATGAATTTCCGCAGTAGGTCAGGGAGCAGTCCCGTGCACTGCTCATAAGACTTAATTTGGAGCGTGCCTGGGTGGCTCAGACGGTTAAGCGTCTGCCTTCGGTTCGGGTCATGATCCTGGGGTCCTGGGATCGAACCCCACATAAGGCTCCCTGCTCAACGGGGAGCCTGCTTCTCCTTCTCCCTCTGCTGCTCTCCCTGCTTGTACTCTCTCTCTGTCTAATAAAAAAATTAAAAAAAAAAAAAAAGACTTAACCTTGGGCATCCTGGAATATCCCTGTCAGAACACTAGGGTCTTGCCCTGAGAAACTTGATGTCCTTGCAGTGTGGGTGGTCACTGTGTTAGTAATATGGGTAGTTTAATTTCCTTAGTGTGACCTGCTGTCTTGGAACTTATTTTCAGAAAGTCAAGATGATCTTGGGGAAGGAAATGGACAAGACCCAACATGCCCCAGGTAACTCTGAAGACTGTGGACTATGAATTTTCCTGGTGACCTCTGGAGACCTCACATCCAGGGATAAAGAGAAAGTGCTGCCTAGAACTATTCCATCCATTCAGTCAATAGCAGAATATGCCCTTTAACCATGTCATCTATTTTCATGTGGTAGTTGTGTAGGTCTCACTTTCTTACTCCCTCTCATGTTGAATAACCTACAGAAAGTGGACACACATGAATTGACCAAACCCAGGGATTCCTGTAATCAGCTGTTGTCTCCTGTGTGGTTAAACCCAAAGTGAGATGCATATCAGCTTTGTGCCTGTTTGACATCATCATGTTGGAGGATTTTTGATAGCAAGAGAGGAAATTGAAGAATAAATGCATGTCCTATCAAAATATTGAGAAGATGTTCCTTGGAGTCAGAATGTCTGAGAGTCAGTAAGGCCTCAGGAAATTTAGTCACTGGGACACTGCATGTAAAAGTCAATGCAACGTAGGCAGCAGGGTTGAAGCCACTTGTTTTGATTCCCTCTGTGTGATGGGAGTCATAATTTTGACGTGAGTATGACAGGGAGGGTTTAGTCTCCTCCTCCATCACCTGGTTATGAGGTCAGTGCACCGAGTATCTGCTGCTCTGTCTCCCACTGCTCCTCATATAGGAGGCCACACCCTGCTCCTTATATAGGGGGATAGTTTTTTCCCTCCAAGGGGACAGCCACATTGCTTTCTGTGACCACTCGCTATAACTCCCATCAAATCCAGCTAGGAAGCCACGGTGTCTGATCCTCCTGGTTTGATCTTCTATCATTCTTGTCTCACCCGGCATAGCACGGAGCCCCAGGAAGTTGAAAAGAAGGAATTCCTACAGGACACAGTGGATGAATGTCTTTTGACTCCTTCAACTCTGCAAGAAGGGTGTGACAGCGACCAGTCTTGCCATGATGGCAAATTCCTATTTGATGAGCAGGAATTCGGGTCTGTTCTGGATATGGCCTATGAATGCTCCGATTCCAAAGGGGCTATAACTCCACATGGTCCCCCAGGTAGTGTCCATATTCCTTGTTCCTCACACCCTGCCAGACTCATACACCTCTCCAGCCCAGGCACAGGAGGTCACTGCCAGACCTCCTAATTTTGAATTCAGCTCTTGTCCTCTCTTGAAAGGCTCTAATTTCCATTCTTAAACCATGCCCCTGAATTTCGATGCCTGCCAAGGCTGTTGGCAGCCTTTTCTATATCTTTGGAGATGGCACTCCCCTGGTTCACTCTCTTCCCTTCGTCTACCTCTTCACTTGTCTTATCCCAAGTCAGCTGAGAACCAGAACTGGACCACTGCTATGGGACAGTGGATGTTTCTCTGGAGCAAGGCATGATCCTGAAACTTCCCTACCCCATGAATGGCCCCTGTTTCTTTGTAGCTTTGAAGATTATTCTGATTTGATGGTGTGTAGAATCCGTTCATTGGTTTAATCTGAATGGCTTATTCCTCTAAACCATTCACCAACAGCATTTCAGATGGCAAAAGCCTGAATATTGCAGCAATCCTCTAGGAAGCAGCCAGGTAGTTCCCCAGGATCTCTGGGAAACAGAATCAGTTCGTCTGCATAGACTCAAGATTTAGGATGCTGTGATGATGGCCTGTTTTATCAGGGACATTTGTTTAATGACTCAAGAGAACAATCCCAGTGATGGCTTACAGGGCCCTACCTAAGCCCTCCTGGATGATTACTCTCACAGTTGCCTCTTATTACTGTGCTTCTATTTCTGTCCTGTGCTATGCAGGATATAGGAGTGGGCATTTGTGAAGGCGAATCTGCTTATTGTAACTCTTTCTCTTCATTATTTGCAGAAAACCGAATTGATCAGGAGGGGCTGAAAGGACAAGAGTCAGCTGCCCCCAGGTAATTCTGAATACTTGGGGGCTGTGAATTCAAAAGTGGCACCCAGGGAAAAGCAGAAAGTGCTGAAGAGAACTATATTATCCATTGGGTCAATGACAAATTATCCATTTTCACAATGTTCTCTGTGTTCATTGTTGTACTTGGATTGCTTCCCATTTCTTAATTACTTCTCGAGTTGAGTAACCCACAGTCAGCTGACCCAGGTGAACTAATATGTCACCGGGATCGCTGTGCTTGCTCATTCTCTCCTGTGTGCTTTAGAGAGACATGCACATCTGCTTTCTGCCTTTAGATTTCGCATGTTGACGTGTTCATAACATGAAAATATCACAGCAAGTAGACAAACATATTCTATCATGCCACAATGTTCAGAGAAAGAGGCCTTCCTGGCATGAGATTTCTGTGCCAGTGGACTGCCCCCAAAGCTGCCCGCGCTTGGCCACTACATGCAGAACTCAATGCCATTTGAATGGAAGGGGGAAAGCCACCATTCTGGGACTCTGTATGTTGTGAGTCATGACTGGACGGCACAGAGATAATTCAGTCTCTTTCTTCACAAGCTTGCTATTTGGCCTGTGCACTGAGCACTTATTGTCCTTCGATCTGCTGCCCCTGTGACAAACACAACTTGTCCCACAAAAACAAGAGTTGTTTCTCTCTTTAATGGGTCCTCCCTCTCTTTGCTTTCTTGACCACTCCTTTCTGCCTTCCATCCAAGCCAGACAGGACATATGATTTCAGATCCCTTTAGGTTAATCTTCAGTTGTCCCCACCCTGCAGGCTCAGCAGACAGCTGGTAGAGGTGGTAGAGCAGGACATCTCAAGGGACTCTCAGGATGAACACTGCTTGACACATTCCGTTCTTCCCGACCTGTCTGACTCCTACTGGCCTTACAGGAGCGCCGCCATCTTCCTACCTGAGGAACTGGAAGTCTGTTCCTCTCTGGAAGGGACCAGTGAGTACTCCATTGTCCAGGTGATCAAGCTCCACCTGGACACCCACAAAGATCTCCTGTTCTTTGTACCCCAGACCTCTGCTGTGCCGAGAGAGGTCATCCCTGTGGGCAGGCCCTGTAGAGACATACTGATCTGAACTGGGTTCTACGATTGAGTTTTAAGCACAGAGATCAGGTGGTGAGGGAGCTTTGCTCTCTTCCTACTCCCAGGGCATGCCCATGTCACCTTGGCTTCTCTGTCAGGTCGTTGTTGGGCCAAGGCAGGCACCACAAACTCAACTCACCTCAGCAACATGACCATAGAAGGTGTCTGTCAGACCTAGTGTGGATGCCATGTCTCTTTTCACCTTTAATAAGCTCTAGGCTTCATCTCTGAGCCGGGTCCCTTAAGAATCTATGCTTGCCGCAGTCACTTGGCATTCTTGTCCAGGGTTAACTGGTTTTGCTGTTCTTAGTCCCATTCTCTGTCTCCTTTAGGTTGGCTTGTCTTCCTAAACGGTTGTCTGAAAACCCACCCTAAGTGTCTCCACTGATAGCTTGTTTGTGTTTCCAGAAGCACAGCTGTGCCTTGGCATTCTCCCACCACATGAATTGGGCCAATGTTCTGAGTAGCACCAAAGACTCACTTGAATTTGAGGGTTTGTAGTTGCATTCCATCTGTTCAGTCTCAGTGTACAAATTCCACTAAGCCTTCAACAACCAGCTATCTGATGAGAGAAGGCTGAACGCTGCAGTCATCCTTTTCGAATGCAGGGAGGCTGGCTCCCCAGAATCGGTGTGAAAAAGAGAAGTTAAAGTGCTTGCACAGACTTACGACAGGGGAAACTGTGATGCTAATCTCCTAGACGATGTAAATTTTTCCAAATGCCTCGGGCTGGGAAATCAAGCCAGTTATCACAAGACAATATCGGAGGCACCCTGAAATATTCTTCTGACTAAACCTGTTCTCACACTGAACATATCTGAGTGCGTGGGTAGCATGAGGCACTGGATTATTAACGTACCAAGAAGGATCTCCTTAATGACCGGCCCTGTCTGTATATATTTCCAGAAAATCAATTCCATCAGGAGGAGGAAGAAGACCAGGACCAGATATGCCCCAGGTAACTCTGAAGACTCATGGGTTGTTATTTCAGTGCTTAAACTGAAGGACTGCATTTCGAGGAAAAAATAGAAATTGCCGAACATACTTATTTCATCCGTTCTCCAATCACAAAATATCTCTTTTAACCACGATGTGTGTCTTCACTGTGTAACATGGTTAAGTTCCTTTTATTGACCCCTCCATTTCAGTAACCTGCAGTCAGTTGAACTTGGTGAATTAATCAGTCACTGGGATTCTCTGCATTCCCCTCTTCTCTCTTTTTGTAAAACCAGAGTGAGAGGCATATCTGCCTCTCCCTCTTTGGTCTTACCACACTGAGGATATATTATAGCCAAAGAATATCTAGGATAAAATTCACATCATGTCACAATAGTTAGAGAAAGAGGCATTGAAGACACCAGATCTCTCCATTTTGAAGATGCCTTTTAACGCCCGGGTTCACTTGGTCAATACAATTTATGTAAAAGTGTTGAAGCCAACTTTGGGATTCTCCATGCATGTTGTGAGTCAAAACTTCCATTCCACAATAGTTCAGTTTGTTGTTCAGAAGCTTAGTTCTGTGGCCACTGCCCTGGGCACCTTCTGTTCTCTATGTCTACTGCCCCCACAGCAGCCACACTCTGCCCCCGAAACAGGAGGATAGTTTTTGCCGTCAATAATGGGTGTGTCCCTTTGTTATGAGTGTAATTCGCCGCCGCCGCCCATCAAAACCATTAGGATGCTGGGGTGTCTACTTTTCTTGTCTTAATGTTCAGATCTCCCCACCCTACCAGGTTCAGCAGGGAGCTGCCAGTGGTGGAAGAGCAGGATGCCCCATGGGACTCACTGGATGAATGCTATTTGACTTCCTCAGCACTTCCTGACCTGTCTGACCCCCACGGGACTTCTAGGAGGGCTGACATCAACTCATTCCAAGATCTGGACATCTGTTGTTCTCTGGAAGTAGCTAGTGAGTCCTCCATTGTCAAGGTGATAAAGCTCCAACAGGACTCCCAAGTTGACCCACTATTTTTGGTATCCCAGCCTCTGGTCCCGCTGAGATGTGTCATTGCTGTGTAGAAGCCCGGTAGACATAGGGATCTGAGTCAGGCTCTAGGATAGACTTTTCAGCATAGACATCAGGTGAGTCAGGGACCTGCCCTTTGTTCCTCATCTCAGGCCATGCTTCTGGCTCCTGACAGAAGTTAGGACATTGGAGTCAAGGCAGATGTGACAAACTCACACTCAGTTTTGCTGCACATGCAGAGGTGTGTGTCTTTGTTCCTAATTTCCTTTAAATGTGTCTCCTCATCTGCGATGCTCTCGTTTTCATACCTGAACAACGTCCCTTGAATTATTTGTGCCTGTCCAAAGATGCTGTCAGCCTTACCTGTATCTTTGGATTTGTCGTTTCCCTGCTTTGACTGCACTGATCCCCAGTGTCTGTGTCCTCCGTGTTGGCTGTCTCGACTGAGTCATCCCTGGAGTATCAGGACATCAACACCTCTACCATCAGCTTGCTTGTATGTTTCCCCGAAGCAAAGCTGAGCCTGGGCATTGCCCCTGCCCATGCATGGCTCATATGTCTGTGTGGCACAAAGGATTGTACACAATAGATTCCTTTTGATGTGAGGGTTTGCAGATTCCATCCACCAGTCTGGTCTTTGGGTCTAAATTCCCTTAAACCCTCACACCTAGAGCATCTCATGGGATAAGTAATGAGAGAAGGTTGCAGTACATTTTTCGAATGCAGGTAAGCTGTTCCCCCAGAATCTGTGGTAAAACAGATGTTTCCCTCTGTACATGGACTCTTGAGCTGTGGCTCTATCACATCAGGGAGCTCATGCCCGATGCTTTAGGAAAGCAAACCAAGGCACAATCCCAAGACACTACCTGAGGCCTCCTGGACGATTTTCTCTCACAATATCCTGCTGCCCCACTAAGGATAATTGTGCCCATGTACTAGTTGTATCGGATACTTAATTTTAATGTACACCTGTTCTGTTTAATATGACTGGGACCTGTCTGTATTTGTTTGTAGAAAATCATAATGATCTTTCGGTGGAAGACCAAGACCGGATATGCCCCAGGTAACTCTGAAGAATCATGGGCTTTAATTCAATGGTGATCTCAGATCTAGGCAAATCTAGAAAGTGCTAAATGTACCTATTTTACCCATTCAGCTACCCACAACGTGGTCCGTTAGCAATGTTCTCTGTTTCACTGTGGTACTTCTATAGGCCCCTTTCTTAATCCCTCCCAAATGTAGGAACCTCTAGTCCATTGATGCAGGTATCCTAAGCACTCACAGGAACTGTTCGTATTGGATCAATCCAAAATGCCCATCTGTCGCTGCTGGTTTCGCATTATGATGTTGGCAGGAATTCATGGCAAGGAAAGTGTTTAGGAAAAAAAAAATTCACGTCTCAGTATTTAGACAAGTAGGCGTTGGACACACGAGCTTTCTAGGAATCTACAATGCTGCCAGTCTGGGGTTGTCTTGGTGATTTCTGTAAATTTCAACAAAATGTATGCAACAGTGTGATGCTGGTTTTATTGTTTTCTGAGTGTTCTGTGTGTTGTGACTCTTGTGCACAGGGTGGTTCAGACTGCTTCCCTTAAGCTCCCATTCTGGCCATGCTCTGAGCACCTCCTGCTCTCACTCTCTCCCTGCCTCCCTGATCTATCCCCAGTGCAGCTACACTCTGGCCCCAGAGAGAGGCAGAATGGTTCATCTCCCTTGATGGGGACTTCCCATTGGTTTCCTGTGACCAGTCCCTCCTCCCTGCCAACAAAACCAGCTGGGACTCCATGTTGACTCAACCTTCTCGTTGCATCTCCTGTCCTCCCTGTAACACCAGGTTCCCCAGGGAGCTGCCAGTGGCAGAAGAGAATGAAGTCCCACAGGACTCACTGGACGAACGTTATTTGACTTCTTCAGTTGGCCATGACCTGCCAGACACCTGGAGGCCGTATGCAAGTGCCTCATCCATAACTGATAAGCTGGAAACCTTCCTGGGTCTGGATGCAGATGGTAAGTACTCCCATGTGAGGGACACAAAGTTCCTGGGGCTCCCAGGAAGCCTGTCTTCTCTGCATCCAACAACCTAAATAGGCTGAGACATGCACCCGTGGCAACAGGCCCTGTAGACTCAAACTGGTTTGAACTCTGCTCTTGGATTTAATTTTGAAAACATTGGGACTCCCAGGTGGTTCATTTGGTTATGCATCCAGCTCTTGATATCCACTCAGATCTTCAACTCAGTGTTGTGAGCTCAAGCCCCAGGTTAAGCTCCACACTGGTTGTGGAGACTACTTAAAAAAAAAAAAAAAAAAAGGTATCTTGTGGATCCAATTTCCTTTGCTTCTGTCGCAGACTACCTTCTGTCACCTGGCCCCCTCACAAGTGCAGGCTGCTGGTCCCAAGTCAGGTTAGAGAGGAGAAATGGAGGGAAAAGGGCAAAAACTCAGGCACCACTATCTCCCCTGGAGACGTCTGGGTAACAGGCCTCTTTTTATTTCTTTCCAGAAGAATCTTGTGCTGCCCATGAAATTTTATTGCCAATTGTACTTCCTGTGTGCTTCCTGCAAACTCTCTGGCTCTCCACACAGGTTTCCAGTCAGCTCCATATTTGTAGCATCTGTGATATTGTTGCTGATTTCAAAGTTTTTGCTCCTGGGGTGACTACGTTCCTCTGGAGCATTTAGATGGAAGATCCTGAGCATCGAGTCCTGCCTGTACAGCATGGTTTCAGTGAAGCCAAAGCTCTAGCCCTGGTTTTCCATCCTCCACGGATGGCGTGCTTGTCACCCTTTCTGCAGCGTCAGTGGTTTTTTCCCCCGTGTGGATATGTTTTCAGTCACGTGTCTGCTCAGGGGCGTAAGTCCTGTAAATGATCAATGGCCTGTGCACCTGACATGGGTATGGCCTCATTCAGGAGCAAAGCAGAGTTGTTCCCCTTTCCAGATTCTTCAGAAAATGCTGCCTGCTGAGCAAGACCCCCTTGGGGCCCCACTCGCACAGGAGTGCAGGCTAAAACCCAATTTCCCATTTCTTCCCACTCAGGTTATTTTTCGGCCTTCCCTTCTTGGAGAAGCATTTGCATTGTTAGGAGACTTTCTTTGCTCATCAAATCACCTTGTAGGAGCAGCAAGGAGTATCTGATGTTCCTTACCATGTCAATGTTGTCTAGTGAAATTGGCCATGGAAGGTTTTGTCCCTCAACCCTATTTGGCCAGTAACAGCCTTTCCACACTAGGACCACCTTCTCCCCTGTTTCCCATCCCTCCCCGAGGGGCAAAGAAGCAAAGGCTTCCTCAGGATTATAGCAACTCAGGAAGCAGAAATGAAACACACAGTTATTTTGCTTTTGTTGTCTACCATGCCCCTTCCCGTGCCCGCTCAGCAGCAGCTCTGTTATGCTGGAAGCATTGGGTCCCCACAGGGACACTCTCCAGTCCACGCAGAATCTCCTGTGACAGCTGAGGGTGCTGAGCCTCACCAAAGTCACGTCACTTGCCCAAGACCCCTGGCCAGTGGGGAGTGGGACGTCAGACTCACCAGATCAGACTGTCATTGCTCACAAGTCAGTCCTGTCAGGGAGTAAGTGGGGATGGGGCTCACCCTTTCATCTCTGCTTTTGTACCAAATTATTTGAAACAGTTGTAAATGTAAACAAAAATGTTGCAAGAATGCCCGAAAGACCCCTGTGACCCAGCCACATATCCGCCAACTCCTACCTTGTGAGTCAGTCTGTGGTGTGAGCAGAGCCAGTGGCTCATCCAGCCCCTCCGGGAGATCAACGTCTCCAAGAGGCTCTCCATCCAAAAGCAATCAGGGCTGAGGGGTCCCGGGCCTTTTCTGCTGCCACCAGGGGGCGCATGGAGGCTCCTCACTTGGCTGCCTGGCACCCTTGTAAGGCTGCCCAGTTCTCTCAGAGATGCTGACGGCCAGGTGTGGGTTCCCATCGGGGCAGGGAGGAGAAAGGTTCAGACACATGTCTCAGAAGGCAGGTGTGTGTGATATGGCCTTCCATTCACCCTGGACCAGGGGGGCATAATTCACCCACGTGGATGGGCTGAGATGAGTGAACGCAGCGTCTACATTATACACTGTCTGTCCAGGTGCGGGTTCCGACGGCAGCGTGTGAACAGTGTGCATAGGCTGTGATTCCAGCAGCAGGGTCGCAGGAGGGCTACCCGGGCCCATCCTCCCTGCACAGGGAGAAACCCTGTAGAAACAGGCCAGTCTCACCCGAAATGCCAACCTCATCTTTGATCTAGGGCTCTTCCCCACCAGCCAAACTAAAAATAGTGGGCAGTCCTTCAGAGTTTGATAAAATATTTTCCCTTTTCTTCTGCATGTGCAAAGCATATTGTATGAGTAGATTAAATGAAGCCTGGCAGTTGAGAAAAGAGCCATAAAAGAACATGAGGAAATTAGGAGTGATAACTTTAAACACTCTTAGACCTTCATTCAAGATAACGTTTGAGAATGGGCAACCTGGTTTTGACAACTCCTTCCCCAACCAGATGTGCTAATTGCAGAGGATTTAGCCTTTCCCCCAGTAGGAAGTATCATAAAATCTTATGACATGTCCTCAATTATGAATGGCTAGTACACTGTGCCTCGAGGAATGATGGAGGGCCCACCGATCCGAGAGACATGTTTGTGGCAGAAGACCTGGGAGCTGGGGAGACACCTGGTGTGGGGCTGGGAGAGGTGATGCTGGAGGACAGAGAGGGACCATGAGATCGAGGGACACCAGAGGCAGGGTGAGGAGTGGACTGTGTGCAGCAGAGAGAGCAGTGAGTGTTCACCAGCACGGTGGGCTTGTGGGAAGACAGGACTTGGGGGCATCGACAGGGCAGCCGAAAAGAGCAGATAGAAGGAGGTGGGAGAATCCATGGTGAGAGGAGATACAGGGTGCTGCCAGGGAGACTAATCAGTCACAGATTCTTGGAAACCGTTTGTCGTGACAGACGAACAGACTGGTGAGAATGAGATGCACACAGGGGACCAGGGCCCACGGCAGGGAGGTGCCACGGCCTTCCTGAGGCTGACCTGCTCTGGCGAGAGGCTGTGGCAAGTCTCTGGTTAGCCCCCTTTCTGAGAACACGGACTCCCTTCACAGTAGCAATCTGAGCATGTTTGATTAGGGACTGCGGCCCAGACCTCACTGAGGGGTGTGTGATGCAAGGACTGGGCGCTGTATGCCCTCCCTGAAGACCCACAAGTCTGATCCTGTAGCACCTCCGGCCTGGAAGTTTCCAAAGGGACTCAGACCCCTGCTACATTACTTAAAGCTGTTGGCGCCTCCCCCAATGGCAATAGAATATATCGAATATAGATGTGTGGATGGGGGAAGGGAATCAAATAGTGCAGATGAGAAACTTCAAAAGCCTCCAGAGCTGTGAAAAGTTCCCATAACTTTGTCCGTGGTCCCTTCTCTAGTGGTACCTGAAGCATCTAGAGGTGCCCTTTGCAACTCCCTTCTTTAGTGGTACCCGAAGCCTTGAGGCCAAACTTCCTTCCCTGTTCTTTTTGTTTCGGGTACACACCGGCAACTCCTCCCCACGTCCTGAGGCCTCTCTAGGACCTTCTCTCTAGGCTGTAGGACCAAGGTTACTACTAACAGAATGATAAGCATGAGCTCGTGTGCCCATCCAAAGGCCCTGTGGGGTCGAGGGGGGGATTTTCACCTCAGGGACTTTGCAGGCTGGGCACCTGCCGTCCCAGCAGCCCCAGGCTGGGACATAACGGTGACATCTCCTTCATACACATGACGTCTGCTTTTGTGCCTGCTCGCAGGGTGGTCTCACTGACAGGCGGGGACATCAGACATGGGTGGTCTGGGAGTGCTCAGCTAAGGAGCCCGGGGATTCAGCCCATTGAAATCTCTTCTTGCTTCAGCTCCGATGCAGGCTCCCTGTCACCAAGGGCCATCAAGTGGAAACTGGACTTTCCAAAGAGCAGAGGTGCAAACTTCAGGAGCACAGACACAGCCAAGCACCCAGGTGGCCAATATTCTGACACCGCAGCTGGACCAGCAGTTGGATTGTGGTGACAACAGAGCCAGGCTCGGCCTCTCCTGCACCCTCGGGAGCCTGGATGCCAAGATGGGTTCTGGGAACCAATGGCCCCTCTTCCAAGGTGAGTGGGGAGGGGAGTAGGAAGTTCTGGTCCCCACGTTGGTCATCACCGACTCCTGGCTGGAGGCCCCACTGCGGTGAGGTCGAACCCCACGATGCTCCAATACAGTGAGGTGAGCAAAAGCCTGTGTTTAGTAGCAGCTCTGCCCCAGGTCCTGGGCTTGCGACTTCCTGGCTGTTTAACTGGCCAACGTAGTCATCTTCTTACATATTGTCCCCTCAGTCCCCTCTTCGGAACCGCTGAAAATGGTATCTCCGTTGCATCAATGCTGGGAGCATGAAACCACATCTTTTCTAGGGGGCCTGATTCAACAACAATTGCTTGATAACATCTATGAATTTGTCGTGTCTAATTCTTGGGCCTCTGTGGTGCTTTAACACTTGGAAAATGGTGTCAGGGCTTGTTTCATGCGGGGTGGTCGGTTCCTACCGGCCCCACTTCCCCCAACCCCATCTCCCGCGGCTTTCTCAGGAAGGCTCGTGTGCCCCGTTTCCTCTCCTTCAGCATCTCCAAGCCCATCTTCCCTGTTCGGCGCTCACAGTCACAATGGAAATACTGGTCTCCCGCTTAGTTTTGTTGTTTCCCTTTTCTAAAGAAATAAGGGGCCCCTTTCTTACATAAAGTGCACGCGTCACTCTCTCCGCTGATTCTCCGTCTAGTTCTTCTTCTCCCCTCATCTCTGGGGCCTCGTTCCCAGCTTCCTGCTCATCAGGATCCACCTCTGCTCAGATCTCCTGACGTCTGAGATTTTCCACCCTCCCCTGGGTCGTGTCTTCACTACCCTCCCCTGGGTCATGTCTTCCTTACCCTCCCGCACTCAGTGTCCCTTCCTGGAACCTGGGGTGGCCCGGGGCGACTCTGTCAGGCACCAAACAACCTGAGAAATGAGGAAGCGCCGTTCCCACGTGGCGGTGACATAAGCAGCAGACGGTGGCACCAGGGAGGGGCCCCAGAGAAAGAGCTCAGTGAGTGTTCGGGGATGCACAGCCCCAACAAGGGCCTTTGAACGTCACCTGCTTACTGTCTTCCCCCTCGAGCCTCTCTGTCACTTCTCCTCAGTGCCCACGGTCTCGGCCCCGACTCACCCCACTGGCTCAGTCCCTCTCTCTGTGACTCACCTTCCACAGAGGCCTGAGCAGAAAACCAGGCTCCGTGCCAGGGTCTTTGTCCATTCTGGCGAGTATAACAGAAACGCCACAGACAGGCTGACTTGTCAACAACAGGAATCGATAGCTCACGGTTCTGCCGGCGCCGTAGATCCACAATCCAACAGGGGCATCTTCGGGCCTGGTGACACTGCTTTCCTGGTTCAGAGGTGGCCGCCTTCTTGCTCTGTCCTCACAGGGCGGAGGGACGAGGGAGCTCTTTGGGGTCTCTCTTATAGGGCATGAGTCCCTTTTATGGGGGGATCTGCCTCCCAAAGTTTCACCCCACAATACCATCACACTGGGGATTAGGTTTCAACCTATGAACTGGGGGTGAATACAAAGTATCACACTGTGGCAGGTGGTTTTATCCTGCTCCCCCTGAAATCCTTCCGAGGTGTTGAACAGGTCACCTGTTTCTCGCCACTGCTTTTCTCTTTCTTCTTGAATTTGTGTATTTTTTCCAATTTCAACTGACCAGAAAGGGGGTTAGAAGGTTATGCTCCATGTCCCCCGAATCCCTATTTAATCATTTTCTCAATTAGATACATACGTACATACAGACACACACCTCTATATCTTATGTCACATACAGGACGTATAGTATACATAGTGTTCATATAGGAAATGTACCATATGTTGAGGCGTGTTGTGTAAATTCCCCAGCTTTCTCTTCCCTGGTTGCTCCTCAAAGGCTTCCCTTCAACTTTGACATTGGCTGATCTCTACAGTCTCTTCCCTCCAATAGGACGGCCTCTTTCCAGCATGATTTCCTTGCCTTTGTCTTCTCTTCCCCGGAACTACTTCTCTTTACCAATTCTGTCTCTCTCGATTTCACTTTTGTCGGTTGTGAGCACGCTGGCCTCCTGGTCCTCTTATCCTTACAGGGTAGTGTGAGAGAGAAGAAGAAAACAGGAAATAATCAAAGTGCGTCCACTGGCTTCCCCTCACCTGTGACCTGTCGGATGGCCTTTCTCATTCTGCCCACTGTCCTTCTCTGGCGTCAGTGCAGGTGGAGGCTCAGAAGGGTCATGAATCACAGCACATCCTGTTGATGTGCTTTTCTTTTCAGAGCTGGGGTTGGAAGCTTCCATCTGCATGAAGAACCCTCCCAAGCTGGATGGGGATCTGCAGAGGGCTCAAGGGACAGCCAGTGTGGGTGTCACGTCTTGGGCCCCATGAAAGCCCTCGGTGCCATGAGACAGAAGATTATCAAGAGGAAACTGCAGTTCGGCAAGTGGAGACTCGCAAGCACATTCCGTGGCCTTCAAGCTTAGGGCACAGAGGTGATCACACGTACGTGGCTCTGGGGCACGGATTCCTCTTGCTCTCCTTCTGATTCTACCTCCACCCACCCCCAAACACACACACTCCTTGTTCTCTCCTCAGTTGGTCACTCTCACAGCTGGTGCTACCTCTGTCTGGTCTTACCTCTGTTTCCCACGGGGCTGCCTCCCTGCCTTTGAGCCCCCTTCCTCAGAAAGCAGTGGCCCGCAGGCGCTCCCATCTCCATCACCTGGTTGCATCTGGCCCTCCTCAGCAGAGCGGCATCATTTACACACGTCGCCAAGCAAGTGGAACTTTTCGGGAAATCACACAATTTCTTGGCCTCTGCCTTCCTTCCCTGCTTCCCCAACCAAGGCCTCGTTCTCCCAGGAGCATTGTCTTAATGAGTCACTTGCACAAGGATTCTCCTCCGGGGTCTTTCAGGAAATCTGACCTAGGAGGACACGTAACCCTCAACTTCTCCCTGTGAATAAGAAGCGTTGAAGCTGAGGAGAAAGTGCCCCCCCGACAAAATCTAGATGAGAACCCGAGTCACAGCTGGGAGTGCCACAGCGGACCGGCTGGAGTCAGGTTTCTCTTCCGCCCCTATAATATAGGATACAGGAAGAAATCCATATTGCATAAAAAGCCAGTGTCCAAAACATAATCCCTTCCCTGATCAAAGGTCAAGGAGTTTAGTGCTTTCTTTCCTCCTGTGACAATGAAAAGGACAGTTCACTAGTCACTAAGTGGATTTCACAGCCCCTGACAGGTTCAGTGCAGTTTGAAAGAAAATATTTTAGTCAAATTTTGCCCTTTTACACCAACTCAGTAAAGCAGCTTAGGTCTCATTCTCCTGTGTTAATCCATTTGCAGGCCCTCCTTTACACCAGGAAACACTGACAGCCTATGTCCTTAGGGAAAGTTTGGAAAAGAAGGGATGAAAATCTAGAGAGCTAAAACTAATGCTTTCTCATTTTCACTTAAGAGTTTGTGAGTCTATGTAATGAGCATATTCCTAGAAATGCCCTAAGGTCTATCCTGTGTGAGATTACCTTCCGAGAATGTTGGTGTCCCTGAGTGAAAATGACTAGGGCCATGGTTACACCCCTGCTCCCTTTGTGTGAATTCCCCTTTGAGTTTCTCGTTCTTGGGTTCTCCCCTCAGCCCCTCTGGGCTTGTTTCTGTCCAGCCAAGTGACCAACAGTGTCTACTGCCTGCCCACACCTCCAGATCAGAGGCTTCGCTCTCCCTTCCCCCAGATGTTTGCACAGGGCCTGAGCCTGGGTTTCAGTCCAGGGTTTTCAGGCACAGGTCACATGGCTTTAGGGGCTCCTTAGTGCCTTGGACCACAGCTCCTCCTCTGCACATGGCAGAAAGGAACTTGGAGCTATTCAGAGGCCCCTGTTGGCTCTCACAGTCTAGGACTCATTCCGTAGCCTGGACTCCGCCTCAGAAGACTGGGACAAAGGTGAGAAGGGGGTGTGTTTGTCTGCCAAGGGTCCCCTCCTTCCTACAGCAGTCTGTTTCTGAACGTATGTGTTGGGTGCTAGGTCCATCCCTCGCTGGGAGGCGTGAGAAAGCCTCAAGAGTGAAGTGGCCGCTGAGGGAGAGGTAGTTGGGATCTGGCAAAAGCTCACAGCAGCCTTGAGCTGGGATATCACCCGGCTCCCACTGGCGGGAGCACAGGGGTCCCTGGATCCTGCAACACAGGCTGGTTGTCAGTTTGGTGAAGTATTGCTTTTGACCTGTGGCTCTCCCTCTCCCCCTCAGCCTACCTGTGGCTCCCCCTTCAGCTTCTTCTCTGGACAGGGCTTCAGCTTGCTCCTAGCCTCTGTCACCACGTAGCCACCCCTCCAGGCTCAGCTATCAGCAGGATCTGAGCAAGACTCGCATTTGGTTTCTCTCTCTCTTCCTCTATCAGATACCAAGTCCTTCAGAAACTAAGAAAAGAGATTGAATGAAACTTCACTTGAATGAAACCCCATCATAAAACCCCATGATTTTCCACTTGATGAAAGGAAATCTAGAGCAGCGCATCGAGTTACAGCCCAAGCAGAGCACAGGAGGGATCCTTTGCTGAGAATCAACATCACGATCACAAGCCATTCTCTGTGATTTGGGCTGCAAAAGACTGGTTGGAGGAGAGAAATTCTAGCCCTTCAGCTGCAGTTGTGATAAATCGCTGATAAATCGCTAAGGAGACCAATGCCTGAGTAGATCACACACAGTTTTGAGAGACCATAAGTCTTGCTGTTCTCAATTCCATCCTGCAGAGAACCGGAGTCAGGAGCATCATGGAAAAAGACCACATGTCATACTGGACATTCTGGGCCACCAGATGGGCTCTGCTAGGAGCACACAGCATTAACTACGCAGTGTTCTTGCTGGAGAGCTTTAGCCTGAATTTGAGCACGAGGTAGTTATCAGACAACTTCAGGATGTAGAACATTGAACAGGATGAATGGCCTGTGTCTTCAAACAGTCAATGTCACCACAAATAAGAGACAACAAAAAGGAGAGGAGGTATTTTGGGTTTCAAAGGACTAAAAAGAACGTGTGACTGTATTTCTTCAGTCCTTTCCAACCCAAATCTCCTCACCTTTGGGTGGCTGTCTCGGTGGTGGTGACATTCCCTTGTTTGTAGGGGACAGGCCAGATGTCAAGCTTAACGGCCTACATCCTGAAGTCATCTGATCATTTCCTCCTGATTAAATTCAGCCTAACCCTTTGGCCAGGACACTCCATAGTTACCGCTGTGTGTGTCCCAGCTCAGCCCACCCGGAGACCACGCGTGTCCAGTTTGCCCATCACCATTTTGGTGGTAGCAACACTGGTTACTTTGCTGGGGAAGGGCCTGTGCGATCTGTTCATAGCAAGACACACGCGTTTCTTTCTAAAATTAGTGATTTGGTAAGTGGTACTCTGAGAATGTATGCAGATCCTCTTCTCTACAGTCTTTCTCTAAAATGTCGCCATCTTTTAAGGATCCCGACAGTGTGTCATAACCCTGTGTGTGTTTGTGTATTGGAAGAATTCTGACTTTATCCTTCCCACACAACGTGTATTTGCTGGCAATGTGATGTGGAAAAGAACATTCCCTCCCTGTTCATTATCATTAAAGGTTTTGTTTTGACAATCACGTGGACTATTGATTTTTTACATTGGATGCTCTAATCTGTTGCTATCATGGCGATTTGGTGGATTGGATACCCAGTAATGCAAATACTCTTGGTTCTCCTCGTCATATTTAATGCTGAGTCTCCATCTCTTTTAGGCTAAACATACCATACAGAAAAGAAATTTTGGCTGTGTTTGTCTCTCTGTGGTATGGGTTTTCTTTTCTGTGTGTGCACCTGTGTGTGTCTATATGTGAGTTTGGGGTTTAGGAAGGTTGTATAGGTAGGGCTGAGCATTGCACCAAAAGGTTTTGGACACGTTTGGTTCCTTCTTAGCTTGTGAAACTTTTCACATTCAGTCTCTAAGTTTTAAGTGATCTCTTAACCTCAAACTGTTGACATTATTCTATTTTCTCTTTCCCTCTGTCTGATGGGGGGCTTGACCCTGGGACCCAGGGATCATGACCTGGGCCAAAAGCAGATGCTTAACGGACTGAGCCAAAAGGTTTTGGACATGTTTGGTTCCTTATTAGCTTGTGAAACTTTTCACATTCAGTCTCTAAGTTTTAAGTGATCTCTTAACCTCAAACGGTTGACATTATTCTATTTTCTCTTTCCTTCTGTCTTAACCTGCCTCTTCTTATACTCTTGTTTCCACCCAGTGAAACAGATGCCATTTACATCCTATTTTTCCCACCTGCTCCACTCCCAGATTCTTGTTTTAGATGTACAGTTAAGTCGATTCAACAGTGATCAGCTGTTCGAAAGTCGAAATTTCCCCAGTCATCTCTCGTTGGATGGAGTTCACCTTCAAAGGACTGCTAGTGATGGATTCAGGACTCCCTGAGGGTTCCATATTGAATACTCTTTTTCTACTGCCTGCATACATGGACATCCTAGCTGAGTAGAAAGT